GACCTAACAACATCCCTGTACTCATGAACTGAATCCACAAGCAAATCCAATTAAATTTTATTCAAAACAGAGAGCCAAAACATGTTCCTCTGGGAGAAGCAAAAGTCAATGGAAATCCATACATGAAGAGAGAAATTTATAAGTGAAACATTTATGCATAACTCATATGGTTAAGGACCTGCCTTCCATGAACCCATGCTGGCTGAGCCTGTTCCCCTGGTTGTCCCGCACATGGCTTATAGCCTGATATAGACTAATGCCAGTAGATTTTTTTTTTTTCAGGGGAGCATTTAGTCAAAAAATTAGTCAATATTTGGTCAAATGTTACAACGATAGGTTTGTTTGAAATCCAGTTGTACATTTTCAGTTGGTCAAATTAGTCTCACATTAATTCATCCCTTCTGTTTTATCCTCAGACAGGTACAAACTTGAAAACTTCACTAAGTACCTAAATTAAACTACCTAAAAAAAAGTTTTTTTCTTTTAAAATTAAAATTTTTAAAAATATTCCATGGAGTCACATGGCTTAACTCAGCTACTACTTCATTGAAGTTTTTGTATCCAAAAAATACAACCCTCTCTTCTTGAAGCTTTTTTTCCTTGAACAGAGCGGGACAGCTAGACTCTAAAGTTGTACATCATCAGTATCCAAGCCACCAGAAAAGTGAAAGTATGACGAAGAGCAGGGGGGGAGAAAGCAATGTTTTTCGGGCTAGTATCTCACCTTTTTGCCTTTTTAACCTACTGTTTCAATGGAGGTTGGAAACACTCTGTATCTCACTGTTTCGGGGTCTAATTGCTCATCTTGCCTTGAAATACATCACAAATGTATTTCAGAAAGCAACTGAGATAAGCAATGTGCTGTGGTATCTGTTTCTACCACATTCTTCTTCTCTCACAGGAAAAACAGAGAGAAGCCGATGAAGAATTAGTGCATCATTTCTCGCATGTTACCGTTTGACAGGAACAGTTTCCAGAAAATGACCTCCCTACAACACAAGAATTGCTGTGAAGGAGATGATTTTTTTTTTTGTTTTACAGAATGGATTCAGTAGTGTCAGATTTATGACATATTCCTCTACAGAATACTTCCCATCACTGAGTGTTTAGGCATCCTTTTACTGTTGACTCGACTGTTTTCAACTTGTTTGCCACGAAAGAGGTTGTAGCCTGCACAGGATAGAAGCGAGCACTCCACAGCATCCAAATCTCTGCTGTAGCTTGTGTACATGATTTACCTGACCTACATAAACATACCTTTCCTGAAGAGACTTCTGAAGTGCTATACGCCGCCCACAAGCCACAGTAAGGACCAAATTATTAATTTCAAAAAGCCAAATTATTAATTTCAAATGTTTCCATCCTCCAGATCAGCATGTAACCTGGAATATTACTCCTAAGTATTCAAAACAATGATGTTGTCCCTCAAGTATTTAAGCGTATTGAGACATCTGCACGAGGGCAACAGCAGATACCAAGGATTAACACCAACGACTACTCACCGAGGCTTCCTTCATGACCGTCCTACTAACGTGTTATGTTAACAAGCCGTTACTCTTTGGTCCTCAACCTGAGGTGTCAGGAGGAAGCCCGGCCCCAGCGGGGCTGGCAGGCAGACCCCTGACCCTGTGCTTATGTTCAGATGTCCATTTTGCCTGTGCAGCTGTCCTGCACTCTGAGGGATCAGCTGGCTGGAGGGGGACAGACGGGAGACCTATTAGCACCTCCACAGCTCAGGCCAGTCTGCTTGATTACAAATTCATTGAAATTAATTAATTTTTAATTTCACACTAACCTCAGCTATTATAAATCAAGCCAACCAGGCCAGGGAAACATTCATTGAAATATGAAACTGTCTGTCGAAGAGGCACCTGATCACAGGTTCAACTTCAGCAATCTGTCACTTGAGAGACAAGAAGGAAGCAAATTACTTTTCACAGAAATTATTAGAAAATACTGCCTTGATTAATTATGCTGTTTCAGAAAGGGCACAAAAGGAAAAAAATATTATACCGGTTCTGAGCTCTGTAAGCCAGGGTCTGGTATTCCAGCCTGCTGAATGGCTTAATCATCTGGAAAATCTATTTTTTTAAGTTTTTTTTTTAATCTTTTTTTTTTTCAAATGAAGGAGTAAAACTCCTTTTACACAATAAAAATAATGAAAAATAATATGAAATATTAACATCCCTGTATCTACAAAAGTAATATCTAGGCTCTTCATAGATGTTTTTCTCACTGTCCTCAGACACCTCTGCCATAGCTCCAGGGAAAAGGAAATAATCTTACTTTGAGATATTGACAGGTTTGATAAAGATTCACTTGATATCCTTCTTCCTGCCTTCTGGTGCTTTGTTAACATGAAGCAGTTACTTATCAAACACATCTCTACAACAGGAGCACGTTTCAGTTCCATCAGAATTAAATCTCATGCAAGATACACCACCTCCTCTCATCAACAAAATTCGGGGTGGGGGATGGGGGTTGTTGCTTGCTTTCTAGTTTTTGAAGTTGAGATATATTGCGTTGGAAGTATGAATTCAAACCTTGGTTAGACCTGGTCTGACCGCACTGGAGTAAATGGAAAAGTAACTACTTTCATAAACCCAGAGCATAAATCTGAGTTGGTCCAAATATTATCCTTTCAATATTCATATATTGGGCACCACTAAGTGATAGTATAAGAAATATGGCACTGAATATGATGCATTCAGTGGACATGTAAAATGTCAGTTAATTTTAGACAAAGAGACAAAATGGGACTGAGCCCAGAGATCTCCTGTACTACTCCTTTCTTTCTCTACTCAGTGTGCATTTTGCATTCACATCTACTTATTTGGAATGCCAGATTGCTGCAAATAAGGTTACTTTGCTTCTTAAGGATAAAATGTCATAGTCAATATCCTTACAAATGTAAGAATTACTACAGGAAGTACTGTACCAAGTAAGACCAGATCTCCACTGAGACTTCTGTCCTTACTGGAGACCATCTCTCTAACTGCCTATGCCTGACAGGAGTATAGCAACAAGGCAAACGTTTTGATGCTTCCTCAGAGTATTTTCCTAGACTCCAGCTACTTGTGGTAAAGCGAGTTCCTGAGCCAGAGAAGGTGCCTTTGTGTTTAATAACCTTTGACAGATTTTTCTTCAGTCATTTTTTATACAGTCACTTTTTGAATCCATGTACATTTTCAGCATCGACAGCGTATCATGGCAAGTAGTCCCATAACTTAAAGTGCAATAAGACAATGATAAAACAGATTTAAGTAAGGAAATAACTACAGATGTCCGCTAGAAATGTGATGATAAAATCACTGCCCTACACTCTAACATATTATGCATCATTTACACTAGTTGGTAGTGTAGGAAGTTGGAGGAGTGTAAAACATTTATTGTGATTATTTTCCTTATCATGTCACCTGCAAAACTAAGAGTATTCATTACTGAGAATCTCAATTGCCTGAGCTTGAAAACATCAAAAGGAGAAAACTTCTAAAAATCAAGGTCACTGTATGGCTGCCCAGCACTTTAGCACGTACACATGGAAAGGACCTGACTTTTTTTTCCTATATATAAAAGAAATTTGGCAGTTTTACAACCTTAACCCTGGTCCTCCTAGGATAGAAACAGAAGATTCAATGGAAAGGTGGGAATTTTCTCTTTCCCAGGAGATAAAACTCTTACAACAAGCTTTGTTGGCATTAGTATTTAATTTTAAATTTAAAAATCAGTGATACCTTTACTAATGGTACCAATTATACCAACTTAAAACTATGATACTTTTAAGAATAGGGAAATTATCCATGATTGAATTTTGCTCTGCTTCATCTTTGGACAGAGATGGTTTCAGTAGGAGGATTCAATATTTGAAGCTGGAAATGTATTTCTTTTCCAAAACCAGAATGACTTCAAAGCTACTCAGACATACAAAATTATAGCTGATTGGAAAATCCTTCACCAGACAATTTTCTGCTCAAAAATACTGTTACATCAAGATTGAAATCCCTTCTCAAAACTGACAAGATGTGTGCATGTGCATACATATTTGGGTGACTGTGAGAAAGTAAACGAACAATCTATGCTTAAGCATACAAATCCAAGAATGTCATCCTAAAAACAGGGTTATTGGAAGCTTACCATCTGGTATTTCAAAAATACTCATTTTCTGAGTGTGTTTAAATCACGGATTCTGATATTCTAACCTGTTTCATATTCCACACATACACTAGCCCTACATTGTCAGCTGGAAAAAAACATTGAGCTGTTATGACAGCATATGCATGAGGCACGATCCTTCTGTATGGACAGGAGAGGAGAGATTTGAAAGGCTGCTCACGGCTGCATACGATATTTCAATAAAATTATTGTGCTCTGCCATTATTATAAACAGCGCAGTGCAAATGCGTGCAAGTGCATTTCATAGCCGTGCCAATTATGTATGTGTATGCTACACACATGTAAATACGGGCACAAACACTCAAGATAGATACAAAATGCTAAAAAGCCCTGCTCTGAAACACATACATACAAGCAAATTTAGACACTCAAAGAACCCTCAACTGCTGCCAACAAGCTCCCGGGATGAGCAAGATTACAAAAGATCAGTGAACTGGGACCCATATAAGCACCGCAGCCCACCACTGAACACTTACATTTAGCTACTTGGCAATTCCTCAGCAAATTCATTATGACAAGAAGTAATGGGGGGAAAAAAAAAAAGAAACGAGAATTAACCTTTTTCAATATCGTCTTTGTAAGTACTTTGTGTTACATGTCCTAACTTTTACGTTCAATTTTATTTGATTCCATTTCCTCTTGAATGACTGATTTTCCTTTGTACAAAGTACCTAAAGATAAACATAGAAAGGTTAAAGATAAAAACAACAAGAATGAAAGACAGACTATATTGTCAGAGGAAAACACGGAAATGTAAACACTGTGGTTTCTTACAAGCAGCTATGAACCCGCCATTAGGATGAGAGGAAGAGATTATTTCATCTCAGAATATAGATGTCCATTTATGTGAGGGAGGAGGGAGATGAAAATAATTATTCTTATATTTTGTATTATCAAAATACTCTAAGGTACCTTCATCTCAACCTTCATCAGAATGCTTTCCTGGTAAAGCCTGGGTGTTTCAGGTGGTTGTTGTTGTTTTTTAAAACAACTGTCCACAATAAATTTTTTCATCTCTCTTATGTTTAAAGTGTAGCAGCCTGGAGAACACAGTAGCTGAATTAATCATAGAATCATAGAATCATGTAGGTTGGAAGAGACCTTTAAGAAATAATATGTTTGGTTTGAAATTTAACCTTCAAAACCAAAGTCCAATTAATATGTCTGCAAAAATACAAAATGTGAGACCCTTCGCTAAACTTTTATCTTATTTTGTAGAATATTAATTAGGAATAGCACCCATTACATTCATACATAATTTACTGAGCAAGTAAAAGCAACGCCTCTTCTGTCAGTCACTAGGCAGATGAACTGTGAAAGTTAAATGTACTAACTGACCTCAAGGAAAGCCATTTTAGGAGCAGCAAAAGTCAGCTCACTTCTGTTGCAAGGGGCTTTCTCACATGATCTCATCCATAGTGATCCTACATTTATTCTCTTTCATTCCACAGGAAAAAAAAAAACCAAACCACCTCACTTCTGATTTGTTTCAAGCTAGATGTTTTCCTCCCCTGAGAAGGTTTAAACACACATTATGAGCTTGGTCTACTAATCATTCAAAGCAAAATTCTGACTCAAGCCCGCAAGAGCTTTTTCTGCATAAGGACCACAGGCTTGGCCTCTTGCGAATACTTTCACTTAATACTGAAAGGCTTCATTGTTTACTGTATTACCAGAACATGCATATCCGCTTATAAATGCGAGGCATTTATCATTCTCAAACAGTGATGAGGTGGCCACGGTTCATGAAGCAAGCAGAGAGATGAGACTCAAGAAATCTGAGTTCCGTTTCTCACTGGGGGACAGATTTAGGTGACCAAGCAACTGGATCTTTTCCTATTTTAATACTCTATTTGTAAACTGTAGATGATATTTTATTATGCTGCAGCATGCTTTTAGATAAATGAATAAAATTCCCTGATTGATCATTAAACAAAGAGACTTCTTCACAAATATAATCATCAGCACAATGAAATATGAACGAGACACTATTCAATGAGATGCAGAGGAAGCATGAAATCTCTCATTTAACACAGCTAAAGTATTTCCATAGCATTAAGTTGTGTTTTAGTCCACCTTCACTAAGAAAACACTTTCTACAACCATCAAATTTTGTGGCCCTTATATGGAAGGCCAATTTTACCAAACAGAGAAAGAAAAGAAAAGAAGTATGTAGGTAACTTGAGCCCTTACAGTGATATAGCCTCTCACAACCCTTTTCAGGCGTAGTATGCCCACTCCTCTTTGTGTGGCCATGTACCTCAAGTCCTTTGAGCTTACAGATGGTTTTGCTTTAGCAGCACCTGTACGGCGCGATCGCTGCCTGCCCCTTCCTGTGGGTCACACCGGTATCATCACAGTCCTCAACCCTCTCCCCAGCACACAGCTCCAGTGCGCCTGGGGCCGAGGCAAGCCCAACGCAGGAGTGCGCAGGAGGGCAGCTCATCAAAAAAGAGCTACCGAAACTGGGAAGTGACTTCTCTAGTGTGCACCTGTGAACCCCAAAGCAGGCAACCTGCAATCAGGTCTGAAAAGCAGCAGACTGGCTGTTTCTGTACCAGGAAGGACCTGCTCTCCGAACACTGACAGAAGTTGCGCTACAGCAATGTTTTTAACACACTATAAGCAAGAATAGCACATGGGGGAGGTCAGAAAGTAATAATCAACCCTATTCTTGGACAGTCATCTTCCCCTAGAAAAGCCCCTGGGAGTATATTTACCAGAAATGCTAGAAGCAATGATTTTCCTGAGTGAAGAGGATGAGCTGCACCCAGCCAGTTCCTGAGAATCGTTTGAATCCAGATGATAAGAAAAGTTCCTATCAACAGCCAAGAAAACAGTCATGCAGTATGGGTGAGCTATACAACCACTGGACACGGAAGAAAGAAAGGGGGAAGGGGGAAGGAAATGGGTACAAACACAAGAAAGAAGGCAGGAAGCAAATAAAAAGTAGGTTACGAGAGCAAGTGACAGAGGAGCTTGCAGGAGAGCCCAGAAGATCCACCTGAGGAGAAGGTGGGAATTCAGGTGTGGAGCAGGGCAGCACCGGACCATGGCACCCTCGACCACCTGGAGCCATTGCCTTCAGCTGCACGGCGACCCGCAACAGCTATATGCATACAGACAAAGTATTAGAAAGAGCCTTCATTTTTCCCCCTTCCAAAAAGGGATGAAATCCTGCATAAAACTTGCTTGCACGACAACACTGTGATAGGTAAAGTAGTCCCTTTCACCTGTGCAATCAGCAGTCCTGGGGATGTGATCATCCAGGCTCGCCGCACCGCAGGAGCCACCAAGCCGCCTCCCCAGAGGACGGCGGGGCGGCCTTGTGCCTGCCGCCATCTCAGGAGCGCCACTGCGCTGCAGGGGACAGAGCTGCCGGGCGAGCACCTCGGCTCAACACACCTGCCAGGAACTGGCATCTGAGGGAAATCACTCGTATTTCAGAATAAAAGAAAGAGAGTGAGCAAGAGACTGCAACGCAAAAAGAGAACATTTCAGCTCTCATAAAAAATACATAACATTTGTGAACAAAGCTGAGAAGATACGAACTATAAAGTATTAACCAAAGCCACCTGTTCGGATCGTAGTAATTTACTGCATTATTTGAATAATTATTTTTAAGCAGTACTCTATAACGAATTGTGACCTCTCCTCAGGGTAAACCAGACTAAAACAGCTGTTAAAAAAAAGTAACTGAATCACAGTTCTGATTAAGCCCAGCAAACAAACATTTTTTTGGCTACAGACAACTAGAGCTGCTAGGGGGTTTAACTAACACTAATACTTAATTCCCGCACCAAGTTTTGATTCTTTTCACTGCATATGCCTTGGTAGCTAAGTCTTTAAAACAGAGTTTTAAAACAGACCTCCCACATTTAAAAGCATTAATCATTATTTATGCCAAAGTTTGACTCTCTTCATCAATTCAGTGAAATTCACGTAAATTCAATTTCTTTTTGCATTAGCGATATATGTTTTTAGACGAAATGCATAACACTTACTAGTTGCTTTTTAACATACCTTGCATTAGGTGAAATTCCTTTATTGCAAGTTTTGTTACTTGACATTACCGACAAGGCAATATATTATGTGGCAGCAGTGGCCCGCGAGCCAAATACGTCCCCTGGTCAGTAAGCTTAGTTCATGCAGACTGCCAGCCCCAGCCTGGGGTCATCTAGCCTGATCCAGCAGCTTCTGTTCAGGTTAGGATGGAGCGTCCCATGCTGGGACAAGTAGCCTCTTCAGGCTTCACCCCCATGGTTTCCATATGTTTTCAAATAAATCTCCCTGTCCTGTATTTTATAAATTACTCTCTCAAGACACGCAAAGCGAGTAAAGGCCAGACTTTCAGTTCTTCTCTTTGTGGGATGTATCTATGTATTTATACATATCTGTGCAGAGATATGTATAGGTATGACAGAGAGAAAATATATATCAAGACAAAAAGAGGGGGAAACGGACAGTTTTTCTTTTAAGACATTGAAAGGACTTATTTGAACCAGAAGAGCAGACCCAAAGCCCTAAGGCATGCTGGAAGTTCAGTCCTGTGAATGTAGCAATTTATGCAAATTTCTAAATTATAGGGAAGGAGCATGACAGTTGCAAACCATTTCAATATATTGCTAATTGAAGCATTTTTCATGCATATAGCTATAATGAAACTGTGATCACTAGGACTCTGTAAAATACAAAATCAAAAGCAATAAAAACAAAGCCTTCAGGTTATTGTAATTCTTCTGTAACAAGACATGTGTGGGCAATTGGTGATATTTTTTGTAACTGATAACAAATATTTATTTGTTAAAAAGCCTTGATGTACAAACATTCCATTAAGTTTCTTACAATTACCCAGTACACATAAAGCTGACAGAATTGGACCCTGAATAATGAGAGTTGTAAAAACGCCGGTGTGTACATAGCTATCTACATTCTAACTTAAGTTTCAGCTGGACCAAATTACATCCGCAAATACACAATTATTGCAAATATTTGTGCTGGTGAAGCTCAGCTGTTGCTTTTTTTTGTAAGACGCTATTTTTAGATTAAATACTTGCTAAAGAATCTCTTTACATATTTGTTTATTAAACTGATCATTTGAAAGTTGGACTCCATGTATTAGTAAAATCACACAGCCGATTGCTTGTTTTCTAACTGGGTAACATGCACTTAAATTAGTATCACACAAATGTTATGTACTTCATTGAAATGTTTGTAAGTTCATGTTGATGTTAGTTATAGAGGCTAGCCAACTGGAACATAAAAGAATACCACTTGACTAACATTGTTAGCACACCAACTGTCTTGTATTTTAAATTACCAAAAAAAACAACCCTGAAAATGGTTTTGAATGACTGACAGAGCTAAAGATCTTCACTAGGTAAATTGGCTAAACAATTGATTCATTCCTAATTTTGCAAATTTCATAATCTGATTTGTAAGGTTATTTCACAAATACAAAAAGAAATTTGTTCACTGATTTATTGTACTGCTTTCCCTAACTGTAGAGTGATATGCTGCTATTTAAGAGGAAGAGCATTTTATGAAAAAGCCACATGTTCTCATCTGTCCAAGAATTTCTTATTGTTTGAAATGCTTGGCTTGTTCCCATCAAATCAATGGGAACTTTGCAACTGATTTCAGAGACGGCACAAGCAACCCCTATATGCAGTCAGAGACTTTGCATGTAAAATGTAAAGACAAAAGAAAAAAATATACTCCACCAGGCAACCATTCCCCCATGCCCCATCCTTAGAGAAGGTGAAAGCAAGCTTTGCTGATGAGGAAAGCATTCCTCCTCATTCAGGCCACTGCCGTTTTCGGCTGACAGACTCCAGCGTGCCATCATCTGTCTCTGTCATGGGTTCCACCGACTCCTACTGAGAGCCAGCAACAAGCATCAATCCTCAGCCAAACAGCCTGCCAGCTATTTGAGATGGGAATGCCGGCTTTCTCTACCCACCCACTCTCTCTTACCAAAACAGGAACACAGTGGACAAGGATAAAAAAGTAGCCTATGCAAAGGTCTGCAGGTCCATCACAGCATGAGAAGGTGAAGTAAAAAGTTATGTCAACAACAACAAAGAAAAAATGAATGCTTTGATGTTATGAATAGTTGCTGATGCAGAAGGTGAGGCATGCTGCGTGCACCGTAACTCCTTCCTCCTGCCTTCTCCACACATATCCCCGCTCCTCAGGGAAAAGCAGCCACAGAGCCACTGGTCATTTTTACTGGTTTCTTTTCAGTTGAACGCCTCCAGAATGAACAAGCCTTTATTTTTTAGGAAACACTTTATTAGAAGTTATGAAAGCCTTGCAAGCATGCTCTCGATGACTCTCCAATGGGACTCTAAAAAAATGTTTTATACCTCTATCACAGTTGTCTTCATAAACTTTTTTTTTTTCAATCTCTATACAAAATCACAATCGTCACACCTTTTCACGTTTTCAACTTGTGATAAAGGAAACTCTTAATGGGACCCGGCGTAAATGATTCTGCTTACATCCAAGAGCCTCCAGTATGTAACAGCCAAACTTCTTCATAATTACTATAGGAAGAAAAGAATAATACATTTTCTTTTTCTTCAACTAGAAAGCCCCTCAGATTACTGCAGGACATGACTGTTATCCAAAAAAGAGTAAGTGTTTATGAATTGGTTGCAGAGACAGTATGCAACATTGTATTTATTCTTTGGTTTGTTTTTAAAACAACCTTTGGAAACAGTCAGATTTTCAACTCATAGAAATAGTCCACAGAAAGTCAACAAAACACATCATCAAGCACCACAAAACAAGTTGCAATGCCCCAAATCAGATTTACAATCTATAATAAAAAAACAAAAGCCACAATCGTATCAAAACACATCATCTCTAAGGTGTCAAGAGCATTTCCAAAGTCCTAGCTCACAGCAACAGCAAAGAATTTTTTACAGTCTCCCAAATGATCCTACAGAACCAGACGTATCCCACAGTTCAATGAATACATAAACTTGTGTTCAATGTGTTTGGGCAGGGGGGTTGGGAATCTGATAGACTTGACCAAACCGATCCAGGGAAAAATCCCCTTCCTGCCCTCAAACGTCACATCTAGCAAAAAGATTAACGTAGAAGGCAGGAGCAGAACATGGCATCAAAGGTGCCTAAGAAAAGTCAACTTGGAGAAGCATCAGTACCCTCGAGCTACATCTGATTGCTAGCTGTGGCCAATCCAATGCATCAGAGGAAAATGAAAGATGCAACAACTCAAAAGCCAAATTACTATGTTACAGTGGAAAAAAATCCTTCCAAATAGTGGAAATTTTAAAGCATGGTACGAAAATGCACATCTGGGGATCTGATGCTAACACGCCAGTGTGAAGTAACAGCTTGACTGCTACGATTGCGAGATAGACAAGGAAGCTTCCCAACAGATGGATAACTGAGAGGCTATAAAATAGTCCCTAATTATAAAAGAATTTGGTATAGACGGCATGCCTGAGTTTTAAGGCAGTAATTTAAACATACTGGCCCTGGAAAGTAATTATTGCACAGAAAAACAATGTACTCAATTCCAAAGAAGCCCTTAATCCATGTTTAAACAAGCTCTATACTAAACAGACTTGTGCCTGAACACCTGCTTTTACCACAGGATTTGGAGGTTTTTGTGTGTTTTTCAATTAAAAGACCAATATTTAACTTTTGGGGGAAACAGCAGGGTCTACTTGTTCAGGGAAGAGATTAAGAATTAAAAGGTTAGGTTGTTTCAGCACTGCAGACGTGAATCAGAAGTAAAACTAGAAATCCGATTGAGTGAAAACTAATGCGATCCGTATTACAATCACATTTTAGATTCGCTGTGGATTAGAATAGATCAGTAGCACGGCTGCAGTGTGGGGGCGAACAAGGATTAACTCCTACTCAGCCCGAAAACCTCTGCTACTCTCTTCCTCCAGCTCTCTCGGGGATTCATCACCCGATATCCTCCTCATCGCTGCTGTAAGCAAGTGGCTAGAGAGGGCAGAGACTGGGACGGCTCAGCCCCGCTCCACACACACCTCCTCCCAGGCCACAGCAGCTGTTTGCCGCGAACACGGCACGAAGCAGCTGTTCCCAAAGGATGCGGACGATAAACTGCACCGCTGAATCACACTTACAAAGGGAAACTCTATATACACATGACCACGGGCAAGTGCTTTATCTCACGTCCCTCTCTCTTAAGTACTCTGCAGAGCAGGGCTAAGTCCACTGGACGGAAGGCTCTTTGAATCGCTGTTCCAGGAAAAAACAGTCCACTGAGTTCAGGACAAGATGCAGTCCTTTGGCTTTGAAGTTGTTGCCATAATTTCTGAGACATTGCTAGGTATATACTCAGAGCTCTTGAAAATTCAGCAATGTAAAGAAACATCAAGGAAACATTCTTAAAATACTGGCCAGAAGAGCATCA